TATTATGATAAATCGTGCTGTGGTCACCATTTGATAATCTTTTTTGTTAAATCATTATTTAATAATTTGTCAATAGTTTTTTTCTTTTTTTTTTTTCGAAAAACTAATATTTTCAAATCTCTTGCATCTTCAGAGAAGCACCAGTTATGGAAGCAATCGTGCTTATCGATGATGATGATTATTCATTCGATGCTCGTCGTGGCAGTCGTTCGCGCAGACATGATAGGTTAGTTACTATATTTAAATTTCTTTTCTTGCAATTTTTCGGAATTTTGAAGTGAATGAGTAAATAAAGTTTTCGATTTTATATTGGTCTGCAAAAAAAAAGCTTTTTTTTGAAGTAAGCTAAAAATTGAAGTTGAAGTAGTGGGGGATTGGATTGTGTTTCTCACTTCATTTTTTAATTTCAATTTTAGTTGATACGTATTTATGTAAGATGTAAGGAAATAAAAAAAAAATTTGAATAAATTTAAAATTAAAATCTGAATGGGAATGTTTCGGTCCATTAAGTTTTCTGGAATTGCTATTAGTTTTATAGACAACTGTGCATCCAGCAAACTTTTTCATCGGCTACGGTTTTTTGCTTTTTTTCCTTCCTTTTTTAAAATTCACGTCTTATATACGAATTAATGAATTGGCCCAATCCTTATACTGTTCTCTCAGAACATCGTTTTGATAGATATTTGTTTGGTTCGCCCCTCCAGGTTTTTTTTTACATCCGAACTATCGCGACTCTAATTGTTACCTTGTTAGACTAGTGTGTGTAAGCGTGTGTACGGCGCCGCGTCCTATATACATATTTATTAATAAAGCGGAAATACAATTCAACGTGATAAGGCTCTGGGGAGCCAAAGCTTCCCAGAACAGGAGTGGGAGCTAAATAAAATAGGTGCAGAGGTCGGTAGATAAAATGAAGATCCTGGCGATGGAGAGGAGTGCTTTTATACCCCAGGGGACAGAGATCGGAAATTCAATGAGGGTAGGACGGTCAAGGTTTGAACCAGGGACAGGGGTACTGCGTCGCAGTTGATCTTTAACCTATTTTTAACAAAAACCATTAATCATTATTTGATATATTATACGACATAACATAACCTCCTTCATCCCCTCATTGTGCCACAGTTACTCAAGTCTGACGTTTGCATCTCCATTCTTATGTGAGAACCAATGGACGGGTATTTTATAGCCACTTTTAGCTATTCTGATTCATTGGCTAAAAAAGGCTGGCATATCCTTAGACCCTACTAGAAATGTAAAATCAATTTTCACAAATGCCATTTTTTTCTAATCAAAAAAGATCTGGCTTAATTTCGTGCGTCAGCTCTATTTTACCCGTGGATTTTCAGCAGCCCTTCAAAGAAGAAAGGAACTGATCAAGAACTGGATCATCAGGATAAAAACACGGTGAGAATTTTAATTTGCACTGCTGTCTTAAAAATAAGTTATTTTGTTTCTACTTGTTCCATAATATTTGCAACCTTTTGAGATTGATGGTGATTCAACGACTTCTGCTGCGCAAGAAGAGCAGACGGTTGAGAAATCAAGCGGCACTTCCGAAAATGATAATGTAATTTTAACTTTTTATTACAAAAAGCTGCTTCTAAGTCATGGTTTCATTGAACTCTGGGACAGAGTTTTGTGAGTAGTAGAATAGAAAGATTCGACTTAGATGTCATGTACAGAAAGACATTTTACGATGCAGTCTCTGTGTTTCATCCCTTAGCTGTAAACATAGGCCGGACTACACGTGCAGGTAGGGGTGGGAATCGTCAGTACAGCCTCCTAACCGCCATGTATTGAAAGGACATGTAACTATTTTGCAAGACGGAGATGTGAAAGAAACAGAGAGGGGGAGAAAGGAAAAGTGCAACAGCATGAAAGCAATAACAGTGTGGAGGAAAGAAAACTTTGGAATTTGCTTAGACTTCTTATTTTTACCGCAGCGCATCTTGGTACCGTCGAAGCATTTAGCAAATTTGCTCTTTCACAAACTTGGGATCGAGTTTCACCAGCTTACTGCCTTTGCTTCACCATATACCCGGCTTGTTGGTCTGGAATATTTTTTTTCGGCACCGCGTGCCCACCTTGCTGATCTGGCATATGTTTTTTTGTTTTTCTTCATTTTTTCGAGAAGAAATCGTTCTTTGAATTACACCCTTCTCAGCATGTTCGTCTTCCCCTCACTAGCTTCATGTGCAAGTTTTGCGTGACTGTTGGCTAGTAAGAAGATGTGCAACAAAAGTTTTGGTATGAAAATATTAAAATCAAATACTAAAATATTAAAAAAAATCTTTAAAAAAATATTAAAATCTGAAAATATTAAAACCTTTAAAAAATCAAAATCTAAATCTTCAAAGATGCAAAAATACGCGCAGGGCGAAGTAACGAGGCAGCCACACGGATAATTCTCATAGCTTTTAGTATTTCATAAAATTTCAATCTCTTTGTTCTCATATTTGCTGGTTTTTCAGACTTCAAATGAATCGGTTAATCCTGCCAGAAAAAGTGAACAAACAGATCAGAAGTCAGTTAATAATGATGAAGATAAACAGGTAATTCTCAAAATTTTGTCTCAGAAACTTCCTGTTTAAATCATTCTGCTTTCTGAAACATCCTGAGAGATCTAGTTCCACCACCACACAGTTGATGATTTTCTGCTTAAGTTTTGTAATTTTAATTTTAGATGATGTGTGTTTATGTAAAAAGTAAGGTTTAAAAAGGAATAAAAGGAGTGTGAATTTTTCTTAGTTCAGCTATTTTGCTTATTCGGTTTAAGGATAAGAAATCTTTTCTCAGCCGCATAATATCATTAGAATTCGATTGAACGGATAAAATAAGCAACCTTCTGCTGAGATTTTTTCTACGTGAAAATCGCAAAATTTATTAGTTTGCTTCGTAAACAGTTCTCCACCGGCCTCCCCAAGTGCACAGTTCACAACCGTTGCCGTCCTTTCGATTACTCCTCGGTCATCGCATGGGCTGTGCTTGCACCCTTGACTCTTGTTCCTAAGGCCGGCCGTCGTATTTTTGCCCTTTTTCTCCCCCTGCGTCGCTCTTTCCTTCCGCAATTGTTTGTACTATTTTATTAACGCTGTAATTAAATCTTTACTCACAGCCTTTTGCAGCCTGCCTCGTTACAACGGGGATAAAATCCGGGTCTGAGTTGGCATGGGATTGAGGTAGCCTTCTTCGTACTCGGAAGTTGTAATTCGTTGATATTACTTGCCGTTGGTGTTTAAAGAACAAGTCTATGGTTCCGATTTTACCGGTAGAAAATGATAAGTAAATAGAGAATATTTTGTAGAGAATGCATTAGGGGTGGTGTTTTGGCATAGTTAACAGTATATTGTAATTTTAATTTTAGTTGATGTGTGTTTATGTAAAAAGTAAGGCTATGAAAGCGAGGGAATAAAAAGGAATGTGAATAAGTTAAATCTGAATAAAAACCTGAATAGGAATGTTTCGGTCCATCAAGTTTGAGAGTCGGGTTCAACTTTCGTCAGCTTGCATTTTTAGCAGCTCCTTTAAAAGGAAATCATCGATAGTATTGTCTTTGAGCGGATATTCTTGGAAATGTGCTCCTGTTTACCTCCACCTCGAACAAGCTGTGAAATATGAAGGGAATTTTGGATTATGCCACGGCTTTTGTTCTGTGATCCTGTTCATAGATTTCGTCGCCTCCTAGAATAAAGTAAAATTGGCGAGGGGTTCTTTAAAACGGAGAAAATCCATTAGCTTCAGAAATAACGGATGCGGAATAATAATGGCAGTGCTGGCTATTCGAATTTTTGAGTATTTAAAGATGTGGCGATTGTCTTACCGGCATAGTATGAGTTATGACTACTTACCTTCTGACAAAAAAAAGTCAAAAATCCTCATAATTTACTTTTTCTGGAAAACAAAGGCGCATGGAATTGGGCACAGAGGTAACACTTTACCGTAATAATTTTGCATTGGTAAGGCTGTTAGTGGCTTTGTCTTCCAAAGATTTTTCAGAAACATCTGTCGCGAACGGAGCCTTTTTCGAAAATTGTTCTGGCTCGGGAGGGAGTCGAACCACTCCCCTTCACGCCTAGACGCAATGTGTTACCACTACACCATCGGTCCTTGTGCTCTACGCTCAGCTGGCAGCACATCTACCGTGTATTTGCCTTTCAAGGCAGGATGCACCTTTTATTTTTTCTTCCTTTGCGGCCGCTTATGATGAGTTGTCGCCACTTTTATAGCCAGGACGAAAAAACAGGTCGTAAAGAGGCCAGTTCTGTTATTTTTGACTACTTTGCAGGTTACTGATGAAGAAAACAGTTCTACTCCTACACAATATGATGAACAACCAGTCGAGCAGCTAGCTTTTGCTCTTGAATTCGATCAGGTCGGTTAAATTTATCTTTATGGCAGTAATTGTGGCACTAGTCACACTGATGAAATTGATCCCACCATTCTTAGCATGAAATTATCGCTAGCCTTTTACGCTGTGTTCAACAACGAAGAGCAAAATGATGCCATTTTATTTTTACGAAGATCGTGAAGATATGCTAGCGAATCATGGCGTATTCCATTGATTACTTCAAGAAAATATGATTAGGGTAGAGGAATCAGAATTAACATAAAACGAAATATGAATTGGGGCATATTCTGTCCCTAAAAAGTATTCGGAACATGTCTGACAGATATGTGAGGCACATCTCCTGGAGTGCAGTTCTTCCTCATTTGTTCTTTTTTTATTTTTGATTGCTTTGCAGGTTACTGACAAAGAAATCAATTCTGCTGCTGCACAAGACCAACAAGTGGGCGAACAGCCAGCTATAGATTCTGAATTCGATCAGGTCAGTTAAATTTTTTTTAAAGTAAAATTATGCCACTGGCAACCTAAGACAAAAAAAATGGTACATAGCTTTGGCAACGACGCTAAAATCGTTTTTGAAAAAAGTCGGAAATTGAACAGAATGGAGCAGAACGATGGCAGAAGAGGGCAGTGGGGCATAGATGGCAAAGGGGAAATCGACTGAAAGGACACAGAATTTCCTCTGAAAAGAAGCAAAATTCAAATAAAGTGCCGCAGGATTCTTCAGATTCTTTATTTTTACTTGAAAAACTATAAAGACGCTTTAAAAAAAAGAGGGAAAAGTGATCAAATTAATCTTTTAAAAGCAGATAATTGAAAAAATTCTAAATTCCGCTACATCTAATTTTTGATGAAATGTGCTGCGGAAATGGCATGCTTGGAGGGTCTGTGATTCTTAACAGGGGTACTGTTCTGGACAAAATATAATAATTTGGATTAAGTTTTGCTACTGTTTTTTTGCAAGTTGGACTGTCATGCAGTTTTGGACTAATCCTGATCAGTTTTGAATCGAGGAACAACAGATTATCGGCATTTTCTTTCTCACCTTCGATCTGGTACTTGACATTCTCTCTACTTTCCTTGATTCTGAACTTCACACTTTATCCATGTAATTTTGTAAAGCATAAGTGTATCCAGGGGGAAGGGGCTTTCTCGATGGCTCTTTCGTCCCCCCCTTCCTCTCCCCAAACCAGCGTCACAGGTAGTAGTGCTAAAGCTGTTGAAAGCTCTTTTCTGCGCCTTGTCGCTCCCCCTCTCTTCCCTTCCAAGGAGCCTCGCTTTCCTCCCCCTCCCCTGTGCCTCTGGAGGCCACCCTGGATCCCTGCTTTCTGTGTAGTGCCCCTGTTACCTGTGTAACATCGTGTTGGTTCTTTTCGGTGACGCTTCATTTCTGGATTTTTTTTTTTGCAGCAAGTTTACCTCTTCTTTGGCCAATATAATTTTTTTCTTTTTTTCCTTTTTTTCTTTTTTTTTTTTTTTTTTTTTTTTTTTTTTTT